ACCTCAACACAATCACAACCAACAACTTCAACAAACACAATCAATCTTTTCTCGAAATTAAACAAGTTTGATGTGTGGGGGAAAGAACCAATCCAACACTATGAACTCACATACCTAGTAGGGATCACCCCCGACGATATCCACGACGATCTTTGACGAAACCTTGCTTGATCTTCCCTTTCTCCCCTTCTTCTCCTCTTTACTCACAAACCCTCACTCTCACTCTTTTAAAAAGGGAAAAACTGATCTAAAATCAGTCTAACACTTTAATATATCCAAAAGGATTGGTTAGGGAAAAGACCAAAATACCCTTAAGATTTCCGGACGGACTTCCCTGCCAACTGCCTAACTTCCAAAGGGCATAGCTCACTCATACGAACTCAGAATTGAGCAAACTCAGTGGCGTTGGAAAGATAAATCCAAGGGCTTTCCAAACATAACTGGAACTACACTTAACTCATGATGAGCTAGGAGTTATGACTGTTCAAAGTTGACCAAAAACTCACTTTTTCCCATACTCTACCAAATTTTTCCAGATTTTTAAATTCTTTCCAAAAATGACTATTTCCGATTTTTAAGCTTCTTCCTAGTTATCAACTTGCAAGATGTCACAATTCAAGAGTCTAATTTTAATGATGTAATACAAAATAATCAAAAATTGATATGATATAAATTTTATAAAATAATCGATCGAACCTAACATTGACAACCCCTACCCTACACATATCTAGATACTATCTTCAATTAACTGTATTTATCATATCTCTTTTTTCTCTATATAATAGATACTTCATAGCAATGAAAAATCCGGGAGAAGCAAGAGTTGAATAAATACAAAAGAAGAAACAGCCAAACCAAAGAGGTAATAATATCAATTTATTATATTATTTTACACCTCATGATTCATGAAGGACATGACTCATATGGATAATCATTTTATTTAAGAGATTCTTAGTTATCGTTATTTTTTTGTGTACTACCACTACAATTTTTAAAATATTTTTTTAACTACAATAACCAGCTACTAGAAATGATTTGTGTTTGTTAGTTTCTCAAGTAACTTTAAGGTAGATATAAAAATTATGTAAAGATGTGAAATATTAGCGGTCATTTTAGTAGCTGGATATGAAAAAAGTTAATCATGTGTTAGTATTCATTTAGTATCTGAATAAGAAAAAAGTTATTCACGTATTAATTTTCATATAATTTATATGATATTAATTGGTAGGTAGATAGAAAATATCATGTAGAAAATTAATATGACATTTGATTGACAGTTTAGACACCCGCATAAGTAATATATGTATAAGTTATGAGAGAATATATATTATTTTATGCAGGATAGAAGGTAGAATAACTAATGCATGTATAACTAATACATGAATAACTAATCTTTGCATACTAATACATGCGTAAAATAATAAATAGATTTCCTCATAAGTCATAACTAATCCCTTCATTACTGATACCTGCATAACTTTAACTAGCTACCAAACAACCCCTTAAGGTATACAATACACATTTTCTTAAAACTTTTTTTTTTGCAAGGAAGTGTTTAATACTCCCTCAAATTGCCATTAATTTAGGATGAATGTATTGCTTTGGATAATAACAATAATAGTCATGGTATCTATGAATTGAAATTACAAAGGATGTGTCTTTTGTAGGAATTATCGTTCAAGAAAAAGGGATGGAACACTCCATTGAAATTACCTCAAAAGATGATCAAATTCCCCTGCTTCCTCAATCTAAACAAGATGAGGTTACTCTCTCAAATATATAAATATATATTTTTTGCCACGTGCATGAATTTTAAGATATTGTAGAAATTTTTCAGATTATTTCCTTTCCTGTAATTTTAGGTCTACCTTATGATCCTACCACATTCACTAACCATGGTTTTACCCCTTTTTTATTTTTTTTATTTGAGTCAGACTCATAGGGACAAAGAAAATAGATGAGTAAGTTTTTAAAGTCACGTGATAATTTTAGAATTAAAAAACCTGTTTTAAGATTATTATTTCTTAATTCATCATGTTAATAAAATGGATAAATATACATTATTTGTTAAAGAAGAAGGTATATATGCACTACTTTTTTTATCGATACATATATCCGATCTAAATCGCAAAATTGAGGGATATATTTGCCCGTTTACCCTAAACAAAATAATTGCTTGCTTATTGCATAGTGCTTCTAATAAACATTTTAAGATTCCATACTCTTTTCGTTACAGATAGAAGAAGGGACGAAAGTGGATCCTTTAATACCCAACATAAAGGAAAGATTTGATGAAATGTTTGAGGATTTATACAATTCGTCTATTAAATCAAGTACCATATTCAAAGTAAATGTGGGGTTACGCGAATCAAATGCATGTGCACACCAAAGATGGTCTCTATCGGTCCTTACCAAAAGAAAAATGATCAACTTCGTCCGATGGAAAAGTACAAATTATTGTACCTACGACGGTTTCTTAAATGAAATGAGGGGCTTGATACGGATAGTTGCATGAATGAATTGCAGAAATTGGAGGAGGAAGCACTGGATTGTTACGACGATATAGAAGACCTCAATATTAAAAGCCATGAATTTTGCAAAATGTTGTTGCTTGATGATTGTTTTGTGGTTGAGTTTATTCGAGAGCGTTGTGAAATATGCCCAAGAGGAGAAGACGAAATTATCAAAACTAACGTTGGTTGCATATATAATCAAATACTCTGTGATTTGATGTTACTAGAAAACCAACTTCCTTTCTTTGTCCTCAACAAGCTTTACTCCTAATACTCACTACTATACAGACTATTCTAGCTTTTACAGGTTCCATTAACAAGTAATTCTCAATTGTAGTGTAGTGTTTCCTCACAATACATGTAATTTACATATTGATTTCGATTTACTTTCTTTTTTTTTTTAAATAATGATTGACTTGTTGAGTCAGCAGACTTCTCCTTTATCTTTCCATCATTGGCCAACTATATTTTGTACGATGAAAGACCAACTTTCAATAGTTTACTTTAGAAAATTAGTGAACTTTATTTTTACAACTCAAAAGTTACTCAACTTTGAATAGTTCATCACTTAGAAAATCACTCAATCAATTTAAATGATTTTTTCATTAAATTTTGTTGACATACAATTTTATTTCAAACTAATTTTTTTAAAAAAAATAATAAGATGGTCATTTTAATTATTTTATTACATTTTGTTGAAATATAAATTTTGTTTTAAACTAATTAATAATTATTAAATTTTGTTGAAAATACAACTTTTGTTTTAAACTAAGTATTGAATATATTTTCCATAGCATATTTCTTAAAAAATATTATTATAATATTTGAATATAACTATTATAGAAGGGTAATTTACAAAAATAAATCATTATAATGAATATATAGAAGTAAAATATAATATGACAAATCGATTTAAAGGAAAATCAAATAGTTACCGTGAATTAGTATTATAAAGAAGTTTGATGATACTATTTTTTTTGTAAGAGAGATTATAAAAAACAAAATGAAAAAATGTATTAATTACCATAATATTCCTTAGCATGTTGACTTTTTTATTTTTGAGCACTTGTGGACTCTAGTTGTCATTAGCTATAACAAATTCAATTACATCCTTTGTTACCTTAAGTTAAATAATATAATAGAGTTAATTTCTCAAGCGCATGTTCGCTTAATTCATAGACAATATTTCATAAAATTACTTTCTTCGTTGAAAAAATTAAAAAAAATAATATATTTTCTGAGATAATAACTATTAATAGAATGAGTAACATATGAGAAATTAACCCTTGAATAATATGTTTAGCTTGAATTAATAATATATTCCGTCTAATAATCAAATTTTTTTTAAAAAAAAAACAGAATTGAAACTCGTAATAATAGTTGAGCTAACATTTGTTAAAAGAATAATTCAAAGTTAGGACAGAAAATTAAATTTATTTAAGATTTTTATGTCACATGCACATGCAATTACTTCAGGACCAAGGCACCCAAAAACTATATATTAAAAAAAAAAAAAGTAGTGCCCCAAACAAATTCTATAGTAAGCTGTGCACATGCATCGCACAAGTTTCACAACGCACGTTTCCCTTTTTAAGTATTATTATTGTCACGCCCCAAGCCTACACCCTGGGCGGGACCG